TATGCATATGCGTATGTGTATGTATATCCAAAGGCCGGACTCGCCGTGGAGACCGGTCTCTCGAGGTGGGCGCAGGGTCGTTCCATGCGCACATCATTACTTTAACATGAAACATCCCAATCGGAAACAGTGGGTCAGAAAATAAACTAGTTAATCGAGTGTATATGAAAGGCGTTCCGGTCGGCTTTTGAGGGAGAGGGGAACGCCAGGTATAGAACAAGAAGGATAGGGGAAGAAGTAGAACATGCGCCGAGGTGACGGGAAGAAGGCATGCACAGGAATATCCAAGTCATGGGCAAGAAAAGTATAAAGAAAGAATATCCAAGAAAAAAGTTTGGAAAATGTCAAGTACCCCGTTCACAGGGTGACCAGAGCAACAACGGCAACCAGAACAGCGAAGAAGGAACCATTCAGGACTCGCTCGTTCTGAGACGGAGCAGCGTTCGTGTTGCTCGTGGCAGAAGTCTCGCTGCCCTGGCTGAATCCGGTGGAGCTGCCAGAGCCGCCCGAGGTGCTGGTACCGGAGCCGCTGCTACCGCTCTGGGAGTTGCCAGGCTCGTTTCCAGAGCCACCATTGCCAGAGGGGACAGTGTTGGCGCCGCTGCTAGTCTTGTTCGCAGATCCCGAAGCGGAAGAGCTGGCGCCAAGGTCCATGTCAAGTCCGGTAGCGCCAAAGGAGGCGAGCACGGTGTTGTTGTTGGTGATTTGGACGGAGCTCTCGACACCAGCCTTGTCCTTAAAGATGTATGCCTTGGTGCCCTTGACATCAGCACCGCTGGGAGGGTCGTAGCATTCGACGGTGATTTCGCCAAAAGTGGCGTAGTAGTAACCGGGGTCCTTGATGTCCTCGCTATCCCAGTTGATCTCACCGCCGGCCCAGGCAATGGTACCCGGGGCGTTGCTGGCTTGACCAGCAGGCCACAGGGATAGCTGCATTCTGGAGGGCGTCTGAGGGTACATGTATTGCTTGCTGGTCTCGTTGTAGGTGGATTCCTTTTTCAGAGTTCTCTTCACCTCACCATCGACAGACCAGGTGATGGCGTCGGGCTTCCAGTCAATGGTGTACTCGTGCCAGTCGCCAAAGGTGTTACCATCAGAGACGGATGCGTTTCCGCCGTTGTTGTCTAGAGAAAACATATGTAAGTTAAATTGCAAAACCCATGGTTCGGGATCCACAGTTGAACTTACAGTCAAGAATACCCTGGAAGTAGTAGTTAGTCTGAACATTGGTCAGGTCAGCACCGACGAACTCGTAGTCGATTTCGTCCTTAGTGTCAGACAGCAGAATGAAACCGGTGACCACACCAGCGCCACGGCTGCTCTTGATCTTGGCCGAAATCTTGCCGTACCAAATGTAGTGGTTGTTTGCGATCAGGGTGCCAACGCTGTTCTTGGGCATGGTGAGCAGGAGGTTTCCATCCTCAACCTTGGGATAACCGCTGTAGACCCAGTCGGATTTGCTGGCATCGCCCAGGTATTTGGTGTTCGAAGCAAGACTGTCGAGGTTCGACCAGTCCTTGTACGACTTGCTCTGGCAAACCGGTTCAGGGGTACAGGAGTCGAGAGAGAAGGACATGAGAGGATCACATCCGCCCAAGCAGTAAGCGCCCGTACCACACTGGCCGTACACTGAGGTAGAGGAATGGTTAGGTTAGGTTCGAGCAACTAGGTAGTCTTGAACTTACGAGAGCAGCAAGGCCATTCTTCAGGACAGTGGGAGTCCTGGCTGCACTTTGGAGGGTCGGAGGCAGCCGAGACTGTTGTAGCAGCCAGAGTGGCCAGGAGAAGTGAAGAGCCGATCCGCACCATGGTGGCTGATATTGTACAAGAGAATGGATATGTACAGACACCAGGAAATAGAATATGTAAAGACAAAGAAAGATCACCAGGAGGGTGAACGGAATGGGGAACTGTGAAGAAGAATCAGTAATGAGAAACACAGAACCCGTTTGATTACAATATTTTATGGGGTCTTTTGATGCATAGAACGTACCAAAAGATTGAGCGAAAGGTTGAACCAGATCCAGAATCGTGAGGGTCGGAGTGGAACAGTGGGCGATTATATGGAGAAGTATGCAAATAGGCTGGCGAATACAGAGCGCACTCAAGATGACGCACCGATCAACGAAAGGCCGCGGTAGATTTCAACGAGGGGAATCAGCAATCGCTGGAGAATTAAGGGGGGAAAGAAGAGGACGAAAAGAGGGAGAAGCAAATAAGAATAAGAGAAACGAGTGTGGTTCTTTTCCTTTGCCCCTCTTGAGCTCTTTGTCGACTCTGTCTCCGGATGGATCAGTAAGTAGTACCAAGCGTAGTGATGATCTTCCGTCAAACCAAGAGGAGAAAAAAGGAGAAGCGATCAGAAGTCGGGGGGCGATTTTAAATAATGAAACAAGCACAGAATGAATTTAATAAGTGTCGATAATAATAATATAGTTTAGAGACATCAGAAGATTATTGGTCCTGGAATCGACTATCACTTGTCTGGGTGCATTAAAATCCACCGACTTGTACCTTGGAGTATCTGTTCTGTCTTGAGTAGATGCCCCGGCCGTGAGTGTGTCATACTAACTAGCCCACCGTTTCCATACAGCAGCTTCAAGTCATTTGGAGTCGACTTGACCCTGAAGGCCCTGAACTGGGTCCGCATTCGGTCAATTCAATTCCCCGACGATGGAATAATCTTGATTTCCGATCGAAGAATGATAATAATTGTGATCATACTTCTTCAAGGAAGAGAACAATGACCTCAACCATCCAAATCATCTGAGGGCGAAATTTCGAGAACAGTCAGTCCATTCACCAGTCACAACTACCGAATCAGGATGGTAAGGTATTATTGCCTGCTGATAAGCCGGAGTCCAAGATCCTTGTATTTACAATACATACAGGGCCTAGTGGCAGGACCCACAGCCACCAAAGTCAATTCTGCGGCTTCTGCCTGCTCAAGAGCCCATTATTTCCAAGCACAAGTCATTACTCCGTACTATGGTTTTTTAAATTTCATGGCGCTACCCTTCATTTCCAGTAGTAGTGCTTGACTCTCTAGAGGAAATTACCCAGTCTAGGGTAAAAGTGTTGAGTGGAAATGAAAAGTGATAAAATACGCCCAAGACAAGCACGGGACCCTTAAAGGAGACGCCGAAGGAGACGCCCGGCCACTAAGAAAAGAGTTCCAACTTGTCTCACCCCCATATGCCGGACTATTAATCGATCACCAAGCCGGAAGAAACAGACAGACCCTCAGAAAACACAACAGATGTAATCTATCCACCTGCACCCACCATTCATGTTCGAACCGATGAACTGCTCTGAGCCAATCAGATAATCTCTCAAGGGTCTATTCGATATGAACTGAAGGTAGCTATGATCAAAAAAAAAAATAATATAATGCCGCTACTTTTGCTATATATATTGTTCCCTTTTACTCTGTGGAGTCAAGAACAAGTGTTTCAATTTCTTGGACTCTTGGTTGGCTTCTTGGATTAGCGACCGCCGACCGACTGGTGACCTGATATGAGTTGGCAATGACAAAGAGAAAATACAGCACTTACCAGCAGTACTCTACCAAAGGAACGTGTGATGATACCCTGGATTAACTCCCAGAAGCGTGACAACTGACAAGTGACAACTCGATTTGAAGGACTTAAATGATTTATTTTTAGATTGCCACAAAAGTCTTACCTCTCGCCACAAAAGTCTGTTCCATGCGCTCATTGGAATGCCGCTGAGCGATTATTACCGCTTACGGCTGGACGCTGCAAAGAAGGAAACAATTCGAGTCTCCGACCATGGATTTTGATCGAATTCGATCAGGTACATAGATACCTTAAGTGGTGCATTATCATTGTCATCTTTAAGTTGATTGTCATGCTTCATGACGATGATACTAGAGCTGCTGGCAGGAGTTGGACAACAACGGTAGGAACGGTAAAATCACGTTGATTTACCCCTTTACTCCGTACTTGCAGCCATGCCAGCACGAGTTTCACAGCATATAATCTCCTTACTCTAGTAAACAAAAGCAGTATCAACAGCTGATTCTGAACCTCTAAACATCACAAGGTTACTTACAGCACCTTCCATGTAACAAACAAACAGAAAACAGTCCGTACCACCTGGCCATCCTTCCATGAACCTTCCATACATACTGTGGAACAATCTTCGGCTCGCGGACAACCTACATTCCAATAGACATCATATCGACGCCATATCTGCGACACTGTCAGATGGTATTACCTTGTTACTTCATAACGGATTACTATTCTATCCCACCCGCTGATGATCATTGCCGGCTGCATCGTATTGTAGGAAGTGTACGTGTGCTGTCTACGACATGTGACATGCCATCAATCTTTTCATGTAAGGAGGTTCTGCAAGTCTAAGTACGGTAGGAGGGTAGAGATATATTCTTCCACCACACGGCGGTCACTATTACAGCATCAATCACGTCCAACCAACAAGATCGTCGCCTTGAGCAATGTAGATGAAGACGGATGTTCCCATGGCACTAATCTAACACATCTATTCACTTTGTCCTCTCTTCCCGCCAACATAATTTATGTTGAAAGTTGAGTCGCCAGGTTGAGTGAGATACATGTACTCTGTAGAAACGATAGTCTACTCCGTACAGCAGTGCTTGATAGCAGACAGTTAAAATCTTGCCATTACAGGACATTCTGACTCAGTCTACTGTAGGATGACCTGCTCAACTACAATGCCATAGCCTCATTTGAACTGGAATGGCTTGTAAACTGATATCGACCTCAATAAGGTCGAACGATTTTGTTCCCACGAGTTAAAGGACCATCCGTGTCGTGCTCCCATTCCATGGTTTCACCGGTCCTCCCTATGGAGAAAGCTCCAACTCGTGGACAAATTGCCCTTGCTTAACCGTTCTCTTCTCGGCTCCTGATATATCCACTTCGTTCCCTCTCATGATATCGTCCATCAGTATCGTGGCCATACCATGACTTTTTCTCCGCCTCTCCGCTACATGATCAACGCATCGATTTCTTCGCGAAGTTAAGGTTCTTCGCGAAGCCGGACCGTGCTGTATCCTTGACCAAAACCAACTCCTTTTCGCAGGGATCCGAAGAGTAAGTCACCGAAACACCACTGTAGACAGCACGGGTGTCTTTCCACTTGTTGAAGGCCTCCAGGACTCTGCGAGCAACGGCAGTGCTCGTGAACACGGCAGTAGCTATGTTATGGTTAGCCTTCATCCATATAGAGGGAACTGTAACATGAAACTCACCGTTTCCAGAGTTAAAAACCCACAGGAAATCGATGTTGCCGAGTCCAGCGACGGCACGAACGTCCGACTTCCATTTCTCCGGCGACATGTTATCGGCAAACAACCTCTTTCTCGCGAAAGACAGGCGCCGACGCTCTCGGATGGGCTGGTTCATCCGACGGTGTTCATCGTTCCAATTGATGATCTCGGCCATCTCGACAGTGTAGCCGGTGCCAAAGCGCCCGTATCCGAGCATCTCCTCCATCTCCTGGTTTGACTTCACAAAGGCAAGTGCATGAGAGGCATACTGGAAGGTGACTCTGGTCCTTTCGTTTGTCTCAACCCGGATCTCCTGCAGCGGACCCTCGTGGATACGGGTGGTGACGAAGCGGATCGCCTCCCTGGAGACCCTGCCGTAAATACGTACGACGCCCGCTTTGGCTTCAGCAATCTCGGGTGAGAGTGGTGCCCCGGAGAAATCCATGGCTCTCGCGCCATTCTCGCCATCAATGCTGTGACTTTGCTTGGATCCAGAAACAGACGACATCGACATAGGCGACAAATAGTGCAGTGTTTCCTTTGGTTGGCACTGAACCTTCGCCATGGATCCGGCAATCTGAGCCCAGCTTCCAGCTCGATTGCCGTGGCCCCTGACAGGCTCTTTGTTCTCCTTCTCAACCTCGTTCATAAGGGCAGCAACAGCTTGCTTCTGGATTATGTCATGACGCATGATCTGCTGGTTTTCGGCACCCATGTTCCTGGTAGGGAGCTATTGTGTTTTAGCTTCGGGACCATGTAACAAGATGACCAGAAAGTACTTACACTGTCGTCGAGCACGTAGTCGCTATCGGGAATATGCTCGATTCCCTCAGAGAAGGCATTGACGATCATGATGCTCAACTTTCCCAGTTCATTGGCTGGCTTGTGTTGCTCATGCTTCCGGAACTGCTGTCATCAGTTTGCCGTCCCCATTATCTCCACGGTGCGAGACTTACGTGACAGGCAATGCGATTCAGATGGCCCAAGGCCTCAGCCATAGCCCCATCAATGGTATACATCGCCATTGTCAGTAGGATCGAGATGTTAAGCCAATTTGTCGGAGATTCCCGGTTGTGTGTTGAGAGGTGTCTGTACGTGAGAGCTCAAGCTCCGTATGCTGTTTTCAATGATGCCAATGTTAGACACAGGTGCAGGACAGCAAGCTCTTTCTGATCCATAGGGTTACTCACTGCTTAAGCTTTTGAAAAGGGTCAAATGAGTCTTCACGGGACAGAAAACTGTAGGAGGGAGCGACCAGGACGCTGAGTTGTCAGAGATACAGCCAGACGAGAAGGCAAGGCAAAGATCAACACAGATGGTGGTGCTCTTTGTATCAATGACAGACAATGTGAGCTGAGTAGACGTCAATAAAGGAAGTTGAAGATGAGCAGAGAGTATTTGCTGTTTCTCAAAGGACCTTTATTGTCTCAGTGTTACTCTGTGAGGAAGGTGAACGTTTCTCGCGAGTAATTGAGCAGCTAGATTGATAAATAAGCCCTCAGAGCCTAGTCTGATTACAAAAGAAGGAGAGATGCAGAGAAGAGGAATAGAAGAGGCTGGAGCAAGTGAAAGAAGAAGAGAAAAGTGAGAGTAGGAAATGGCTGTAGGTATAATCTCTCTTAGAGAAGTGAGGTACTGTACTTGATTAAGTCATAGATGATTCTATTAAAGCCATTATATCCTACAATTATCACCCTAGAAGATTCTAATACCCTTTGTCTATAGATTTAAAGTGACTACTGGGTACTAAAGGATTATATCCCTCTCTCTGCTGAGTGAGTTCATAATCGCCTTAGATATTCTCTAACTAGTTTCTCGCGATATAAGGCCCTGTAGTTTAAGTATTAGAAACCCTAGTGAAACCCTCTTACTTCATTCATATCATACTAAAAGCCCCTTTACATCTATTATAAGTAGAAACGCATACCTTCTGATTGTGGATGCTTGGTTATCTCAAGTATCTGTGTCTATTAAGCTGCCTTGGTATCTGCGCCTTCCTACAATGACATCTAAGTCTCTAACATCGTTCACAGAAGCTGTAGAAATCTTGAGCATTTCAAAACTAGTCTGTGAAACAGGCCTCCACAACAAATAAATAGTATCGTCGTACTGATTTGGATTTGCAAAAAGACCGTACTGTCTCCAGCTGTGCTGCATATACAAGCAAATTAGTCCTGAAGGTGTGAGTTTTCCCGTGTGAACTAAAGTCACTGTGAAGTATTTGAAAGAGTTTGACCACAGATGTCACGCATTGAGATTATATATACAGTATCTAAATTTTGGTGGATAGTCAAGAAAGGGGAGGGAAGTCTCTCACAAAGCTATACGAGAACAAAGTCAGCAACAGATTAGAAGCCACAGATGTATCTAGTTCGAAACTTACTGAGCAGGACATTCGTAGCCGGACGGGTTCTTGGTTAGGTAAAGCTGGTGGTACTCCTCGGCATCCCACCACTGGCCTGCAGGTATAATCTGCGTTGAGACAGGCTGCTTGTACCACTGCTTGGAAACTTTATCCGTGATTTCCTCCGCGATCTTGTGCTGCTCCTCGCCATGCGTGAAGATCGCACTGCGGTACTGTGTGCCGACGTCAGGGCCCTGGCGGTCCTTGGTCGTGGGATCATGCATGCGGTAGAAGAATTCCAACAGGGAGCTGTAGCTGACGACCGAGGGATCAAAGGTTAATTGAACAGCTTCAGCGTCTACACACAAAAAGAATAATGTGAGCATCATAACTTTGGCCAACAAGTCCCAAAGAAAGGCAACATACGACCAGTAGTTCCAGTGCACACAGCCCGATACGATGGGGAAGACGTCGATCCACCACAGTAGCCTACTTTAGCTTCGAGTAGGCCCTTTCCATTGCCAAAGTGCTTGCGGAAGAGATGCTCAACTCCCCAGAAGCAGCCCGCGGCCAATGTTGCTTTTTGCGTGTTGTCGGACATGTTCCGAGATGCCGATTCAGAGGTCAAGGATAGGAAAGGAGAGCTGGTCGAGAAAGCACGAAAGTACCGTGAGAACAAAGTCGATCTAATTGCCGATGGAGCGAAAGCCATCAATCAGATGGAATACGTACTTCAAATAATCAGGGAGTCGGACTTTGGAGATAGGAAATTTTCTGAGGGAGCGGCAAAGGCGGAATGTTGCGATTGCGGGGGTTGATGATGCGTCAGATGAGGAGAAAAGGCGGGCTTCCTTCTACTAGATATTGGATTTTTATGAGAAAAGAGGCCCACTGAGATACAAGAAGGCAATTCAACTTCTTTATAGAAGTCTTCTTCATTAGAACCCACCATGGCTTCATCGACGCTCAACTGGCGTCATTTGACGCGATGACATAATCGAGCTTAAGCTCTCCGCACGAGATTTGGGGTACAGATTAGTTGTGATAAGTATGCGATAGTATGGCGAACAAAAGCCACTGCTGGAAGAGCAAGACAACTTCTCAGAATTCTCTCAATCTTTCGAGTCATGAAATTGGCACATATCGTACAAAAAAGAGCTATCAACTTTGAAAAACAATCAAGTTTACACCAGCTGTTCCTATTTTCTGTCGGTGGGGTGGGCCTATCCTCGGCCATGCATTGGTAAGTTGAAAAAAAGGCAAGATCCCCTGTAAAGATGATTTGAACATTGAAGAAGAAGGAGAGGAAGGAAAAATAACAAGAACTGTGGTATCTGTCTTCCTGAACACCGTCCCAAATACTCCATATCGCCCGCAAGTAACCAATGTAAGTCAACAATCAACGACTACCTCCAGCCTGCTCCAGAGCTAGGGTAGAGAGTCTCCGGGGGCCGCTCGATGCTTGGAGCGGCCATAGTACTAAGTCTTATAGCGTCTCTGCTAGTAAGACTGATATCTCGGGGCCGAATGTCACCTCCGAATGTGGTTCGTCTATGACTTGTGCTTTTCATGATTGGAAGAGTTCGAGGACTCAAAACCCTAGGCTTGGGATCAAGCTCCTTCTCACTCTTGACCATCCGCCTGGCCTGCGACGCGGTAAACATTGTGTTTTCGCTTGGAGAGCTTCCATAGGTTGCAGATGTCGGGCTGCGTCGGCGGTGGATGCGGAGGGAGTTGGTAGAGGCAGCGGAGCCAAATTGTCCGCCAGAGATTCGTCTCATCGCTGAAGTGATCTTAATGGCATCATCCTTGCTAGCCTTCCAGCTATCCCTGCTGTCGGACAGTGGGCTACTGGAGTAACTTCCGCTGGATGTTCGAACTGCGATTCGAGACGGACGGTCCATAGAGCTACGATTCAAGAAACTGCTGTTTTCAATATCTCGCAAAGGCGAATTCTCATTGTCAGAGAGCGGGAGAGTGGAGGTTGGAGGCGGCCCCACAGGCGAGCTGCCGGCCTTCTTTGACAGGAATCCCGCTTTGAACCGATTGTTCTTTTGAACGTGCAGCGTTGGTTCATTGGAGGGAGGGGGGATGGGAGAGGAGCCAAAAGGACTGATGTTTCGGCTGTGCACAGGAATTCCGCGTGGGATTGGAGAGGCTCGGGGCAGTTGGGGCTCCTCGCTGGGAGCTTCTTCAGGGATAGTCTCAGTAAGTGGTTTTTGAGGTGTCTTTTGATACTCCGTCAAGGCACCATCTTGCTCGTCGTCCTTCCAGCGGACACTCCTCTTCATTGTTTTTGCCTGTGTCTTCTTCGGCGAGAAACTGACACTCTTCCTTCCGGCACCCACTTTACGTCGTCGTGGAGATCCCTTCGTTGGTGATGCCGGGGCAGCGGGAGTAAACGTTATTGGTGCCCCCAAGCCTTTCAGAGTGGGAAGATGAGCTACGCTCGATCTCCTCTTCTGCTTGGGAGAGCTATGCTTCAATGGACTGAGTGGTTGAGCAGGCAGTAGTGTGCCGTCCGGTTTCACGACATTGGTGGCGACGTTAGCTGACGAGTTGAGCATCTTCAGAAGAATTTTCTTGCCCATTTCAACTGCCTCCTCCTCGCTCAGGTGAATTATCTGCTCAATGGAGGCAATAATTTCAAATTGAGCTTGGAGAAGAACTTGAATTGTTGCCGCCTCGCCTGCCTTGTCTTGGTCGGCCACTGCGGACAAAGCCTCTCGCTCCGCATTTGCCCGGAGCAGCTCTGCCTCCCGATCGAAATTGGCAAAGTCGCTATTGTCACTAATCTCAAAGTCTCTGAGTTGACGAATGGCGTTCTCTACAGCAGAGTTCAGAGCTCGGTCCCAGTTATTCTTCGCCAGTCGCTGATGGTAATGTTGCCTGCTACCCTCCAGTTCGAGGAGGATACCTTGCGCCGTTTTCCGAATCGCTTGCAGATTGGATAAAGGTTCATCGTTTTCAGAGTTCGCGCACACCGTATCAAAAGCCGCAATCCATGAAGACAACATGCCGATCCGGCGGCTTACCTGCTTCAATTTGATCATAGTATTGATCTTCTCTTGCCTTTCTGGCAACGAGTGATCATATGCGTTGCGAATACGCGAGACACCTTCCCGAATAGCTGCGTCCTTCTTTTCGGTCTGCTTCTTGAACTTTGCGAAGGCCAGCTTTTCAGATTCCTTCTGCTGAGCTTTGAGCTCATTGATCAGGTTCATTTGCTCATCGATCTTCACTAAGAAGTCTTTCACATGGCGGTTGACGTTGAATACGTTGCGCGTGACCTTAGTCTGTATATTTTTCGCCCGGTTTGCGTAGCGCAGCGTGTTTTGTGTCTCATCGAAATGTTGGCTAGACGGGCTAACACACACAATCATCACCGTCCTACAGTTGCCGCCCAGGGAGAATTTCAGAAGACGAGTCAGCTTTGAGTTTCGGTAGGGAACGTGATTGCGCTTTCGAGGGTCGCAGAGGGCGTTGATACAGCTGCCTAGAGCGAGAAGGGACTTGTTGATATTGGCTCCTTCCAGGAGCCGCTCGCCTCTGTTCTTAGTGGCACTAGCTCGCTCGCTTCCCGCGAGGTCAATGATGCTCAACGTCGCCATTGTATGTGGTTCGTTGACATCCGCGTTGCGATCCTTCTGGGCGATATTGATCTGAAGAACTGCATGCGACCGAGAGGAAGTGGCGTTGGCTTCCGTTGGCGACATTGTTCGACATTCGTTGCCCCGCATGATCATGTCCATCACCTGTTGTACGTTTTGCGGATGGTGACTCGATAGCCCGGAGACAGAAACCGACTTATTCGTATCTTCACGGAGCATCAAGCCCCCTTTGCTGCCGCCAGGGACCAGAAGATCGCGAATTGTTTCATTGTAAATTTCCAGGTATGAGAGGGATACTTCGGTGTGTTTCTCTCCTGATCGCTCCTCGATTCGTTCGAATAACTCCTGCATGGTAAGGAAGATGATACCGGGCTGTTGTGCTGTGCCGGTGATTGTGTGCGTCTTTCCACATCCGGTGGCACCATAAGCGAAAACCGTGGCATTGTAACCGTCAAGTACGCTGTCCAGGAGGGTTCGTGTAGTCGCTTCATACACCTCACCCTGTGTGGCGTTTTGGTCAAAGATGCGGTCGAAGGCGAATGTCTGGTCCTTGACGCGTTTGCCGTTTGGCACAACGCTTCTCGAGAACTTCTGGACTGGATTGTCCTCCGGAGGGTCGAAGACTCTTTGAGCATCGTCAGTTTTTCTTGTGAATTAATAAACTGATCAACATTTGCACTGACAAGCATCTGTCATCAATAACTTTGATAATGGACCGGATTCCCTTCTGATTGAGCTTGGGGGTTGGTGCTCCGGCCAGGGAGCCATCTCCTAGAAATAGGGGACCGTCTTCACATTTTGGAAGCTGTGCTGCTTCTCGGATAGTAAAAGGTCGGACTCGAACGGTGACTGTGATCGACGAGGAGCCGCCTTCGGCTGCCATGGCGTCTATATGTTAGCGTTCCTCCAGGTTGGGCTGGGAATTTGAAGTCGAAGACGAAAAACAAGTGAAAAGCGAATTTCGGGTATCCCACGATGCCCTGCCACCCTTCGGCCACGAGGAAAATTATGGTGAGAATGAGGTAAAAGGAAGTTATCAATAGAGAATTAGGTGTCGAGAGTCCACAGCTGAGGAATGTTGACAGTGGGCCTTTTCGACACTCTGGTACCTCTCTGGACTGTTCCTGATTGAGTTATTCTCCAATGAGTTGTCTTCACGTCAAGCTGTTGACTTGGGTTGTTTGTCCACGTTGCGTTGCTCCGAGCAACCGTCAGCGGTGTCGATTAGCGTAATGGCGCGTGTGCGTAGCTACTTTCACCGGACTGAACCCCAATTATGCATAGAAATGCAACTACCACAACATTCGATCCTCATGGCCACACACAACTCTATCGTGATTGGTTTGATCATCAATATTCGAAGAGGTTGGCGTCCACACTCCAGTCACTTTTAGAGATACTCCAGAGGGGTACCATGAAATAGATAGTCTAGCCACAGCCAAAAGCCTTCGTTATGACCGAGTTCAACATGGATGGTGCAAGTTGGAGATCTTATCTGAATTCATCTTGGCTCCCCAGGTTCGACGACGGTTGTCTTCGTCACTCGACCGATCTTCTCTCCTCACAAAATCGCCTAGCGACTACTAAGGACAGCAGCGATAACATATGAGTGTGTAAATCTTGGTTACGATATAATATTTTAATGTGGTGAGCCAGACAAACCATATCATTTTCTCGCGGACCTGAACATGAGAGAAGAGAGGATTTTGCATGCGATATGCGGTCGTGAGTAGAACCTATTATTCTACTAGATGTATAGAGCTATGTTTAAGGTATAACATTCATTTCATTCATCATGTTGCAGTATTCGTTTTCTGGACGGTGTAAGTCCGTCATCAAATAAAAAGATGGGCCCTGCCATCTTGTAATACAAAGCATCGTATGAACACCATATTGTAAACCCATATACCCAGCCAAGCGCCAAAAGCAAGATGCAGACGAAATGAAAGAGTCTCAACTGTTTTCCTGGTTAATTGGGCTTTCCCTCCTCGTCATCAAGGCTTGGAACAACGACGTCCCAGCCAGGATCCTCCAATTCGAGGTCAATGTCGAGGTCGCCATCTTTCTCGGATTGCTCACGGGGCTTGCGGAACCTGAAAGCGATCACCTGTCCATTCCGTATATCCGCTGCTTTCAGACTGGTCTGCTTTCCAGCACCTCGTTTAGATGTTCCGCTGTTCTCAAGTTCTGGCATCGCAATCTCCAGTTTCGACCATCCTTTTTCTAGGTCGTTCTTGTCCACCGTAACACCAAATTCAATGTCCGAGAATTCTTCAGGTACAGGATCCCCGTTAATCTCCTTGATACCTCGCGATTGGAGAGCTTTGAGAAGCATCTCCTGGGCTGTCGTGATCGTCTCGTGGGGCGGAAGCATTAAAAGCACGGTAGTTTTGTGCTTCTTGAACAGAAGCGTCAAGCTCAGAGGGTCCACCTGCGACTGTAATATAGTGTCATGTCAGCACGGGTTCCAATAATCCCACTGCTGTGCTCAAGCTGGTTACTTACCATGGTGGCCTTTGATTTCTGATGATGCGCGCTGGAAGAAGCTCTGGTGGGACCTCGGAGTAAGCAATCAGATAGATACAGACTCGGGAACTCAGAGTAGTTTAGTGCGTCCTTCAGTCTCCAACCTTCACAAGAAAGCTGCAAACACCCAGCGCACCGCTCCTTGCGTCGACTGATCCGATCTAGAGTCTGCCACAAATTTGTATTGAACAAGACCGTTCAGTTCTTATAGTTCGACATCAGATTCTCCCTGCTTCAATATGGACACCGATTCCCCGACCGAGACGCGCTCTACCGAGCCTTCAACTTTATTGAAGATCCTCCACTGGGACAAGCTTTTCGAATCCGATACTCCTCCAAGATTAGGTATTGAGGTTGGGAAGCGATTGCCGTTTACAGCTTTGTCGGCTTTCTCTGTTGGTATGGCAATTGGATCTTCGCATGGAAGCAAAAAGGCCGCATACCGTTTTCGCGCTGAAAATGCGCACCGCTTTCCGACCACATCGACGGGGTGGTTTCAATACCACAAGACTAAAAATTACATAGCGATAGTCGGAGGCGTGAAAGAGGGTATGAAGATGGGACTTAAACTCAGTGCTGGTGCGCTTGCGTTCTGCCTTTTCGAAGAGACTGTGGACTATGCTCGGCACGACAGGAGGGATTTCCTCTCGACTGTCACGGCCGGGCTGTCCTTTTCTGGCATTTACAGCTTGCTTGGTATAATCCCGCTTGGCCTAGTGTACCCATATGATAGGATCACAGCTAACTGAAGATATTCCATAGCACGACACGACGTCTACACGGCTGCTCGCACAACGAAACTCGGCTTGAAATTGAGTCTGGCTTATGGGCTGATGCAGGATGCTCTTGAGACTCTCAAGGGAAACCGTCCAGCCTATGTCGATTTCATTCTAGGCAACCGCGGGAGCAAAAGCGAGGATTGAGGCATATTCGCAACTGAATCTTTCCTCCCTCTGGTGACGATAGTGAAGCGAAGGTCCGACGTGACCTTCACACCTGCGCATCACCTGGAGGTACCTTGATGGTCAACACAGAAGTGACGGCAGATGGGTGCACAATCACAGACGCGGCTTGAATGTCAGACTTCCCTGCTACTTGACCTCAGGCAGAAAGTGATGCCTTTGACCGAGGTCTACATCACCCAAATCCGCAAAAAAAACACTTGGCACAATGAGATTCGGTACGGTAACAATTTTATCGTTCCTCGACGAGACCATTCCTTTCCCAGGCTGAGGCGACAGCATCGAGGTTGAAGTCAGTTATGGCAGTTTGGCAGGCTTGGACTGTCGATGAGCAGTCTGGCAGCAGCCCCTCATTTCAATTTACGGACTACCTAGCAGTGATGTACGAGACAAGACGCCTTCCCTTTGGGACAGAGTCATGTTTCCCCCACCAAGTACATCGTCCACACTATGAGGGAGTGGCACTCTCTAACATTGGTCCTATGATTCATAGGCTTTATCTAACCTATGTACTCTCCTCAAGTCTCAGATAAAATACAGGTCTCGAGTCTGGAAGTATAATATGCCGCTCCTGGTGCTAGAACAAAGGGGACTAGGTCTTTCACAGATAATATCAATGGCTTCGGCATTTCCTGCTAGTCGTGGGTAGAAATCTCTCGTGGAACTCCATAACCAAGAGTTGACAAACAGGCTTTAGATTTGAGAATGCTTACCGTACAGCTGCTGAGCCAGCCAAGTCCGATCACTACAAATGCTGAATAGGAGGTATGTACCTGACCTAGCCAATGATCAGGTGACATTATCGGTAGGTATGTAAGGGATTACATAAATCCTCCGTAGGCATCTTTATTAGGACACAGGGTTCTGAACTTCTGTGGGTGTCGCAGTTTAATAATATGCATATCCACTGCATTACCCATTGAAAATACAGCCGACGATCTCCGTAGACGTATACCTACAGGTAGTATGGAAGCCTTAAAACCATGGCTGTCTATTCGGGCAACTGCCGAATCCTTCTGCTGGACTAATAGACCGTCTGAAAGCGAATGAAAGAAGAGACTCAAAGCACAGAGAAACGCCAATGAAGATGAAACAATCCTAAAATTCTTCACGTAGATTGAGCATCCTAATGTCTAACCATACCAAGGTATTTACTTCTACCATTGGATGTGTGATTGGTATCGTTCTCTACCTACATTACCTGCTGATCCTACCTAGACTAGATAAATTCTGACCGCTGCTGTCAGCACTGTTGGATAGATAGCTGCGAGTACCCCACCACCGACATCTCTGTCAGTGTCGGCTCCCATATACATGGCCAATCTCCCGACTCAAATTGTTGTCCCGCATTTGCAGTACAAGGATCGATGATTCCTTCCCCTGCTGAGCATTACTCAATATTCTGTCTTGCATTTTCAGCCTCCTTAGCCTCTCCGTCATAAACATATAACTTTCTATCCCTGTCGGGTAGAAAATAATTACCAATACTCCGGGAAGACAGCTCAAGGAGTACTCCGTAGAAGGTGTACTGACTTGGCTCTACTGAATTAGTGGTGGAGCTCTACCACATTCTCAGTATGATTTGACGTTGGTGATCCCCGCTTTCCATTAACATTTGGTATTATTCTGTTGGAACGGTTTCTGCCGTCCGCTAAGCACCTAGTACTAGTACTACCCTGTGTGCTATGCTTCTTCTTTTGCGAAAGTCCGCAAATCGCTGAAAAGTCCCAGTTCCCATCTAAAAGTTGCGTCCTCATTGCCGAAACTCCACGACTTCAGATGTCGCGCCATTACTGACGCCCGTCCTTGTCCTCCCCGCCCCCCGGCGGTGCTTTTCTGAAGCTCCCGTGATCACTATTTCTCGTCGACGTCATCGGCCCATTGATCGCTTCCCGGCGAACTATATGCTGCTTAATCGGACGACACAAGATCAGTTCTTTCTAGAGTCCGTACCCAATTCGCAAGCCATTGCAACCCATCCATCATGCGGCGTCACGGCAGGGCTGGCGGAGGAACCAAGGCCGTCACGCCCGTCTCCGATACCGTCTCGTTGATACACTCATTCGACTCAGTCACGAATCCAAATCGACCTGCACGACCGTCCCCGTTGGCATCCTCGCATATCCAAGCATTACCTCTGGACTTAATTGATCGACTACGTTCCTTTCCCCTGTTCCAATCCACTCCCGAATCGTTTCTGGTGGAGGTCGCACAGCATCTCCGCCCCCAACTCAGTGCTCCGAACGATTATATCCTGACGGAGGGTGACGAGGCGAAGGCGATATACTGGTTGGTTCGGGGCGCTGTCTCAGCCACTTCTCGCGATGGCGAAAGTATCTATGCCGATTTGGAACCGGGCGCGTTCTTTGGCGAGATTGGGGTATTGATGGACCGGCCCCGAACAGCCACCATCATCGCCCGAACGCGATGTCTACTGGTTGTTCTGTCCAAGGAGGACTTCAGGAACATTCTTCCCCGATTTCCAGAGGTGGAGGCAGCGATACGGGATGAGGCCCAGGAACGATTGATGATACTGGAGAAGAAGAAGAAGGAAACATCAACACCTTCGGCTGACCTCACTAGTCCTGCCCGCAGAGGCTCGAAGAGACTAAGAGATTCGTCTTCTGGGGACCTATCGCCTATCGAACGTGAAGGCGCATCCCTGAAGGCTGGCAACAAAAAGCGCAAATCGCCAAGTCCTGGAGTCGGTGTTGCAGATGCTTCTTCAAGCGCGCTGGCGAACGGGTCTGTCAATGTCCGCCTCTTGCTTAAGGAATTGCCTCTCTTCTCCAGCCTTCCCCCGGACATACTACACTTTCTAGGGCTCAATGCTCAACCACGATCGTACCCTCCATTCACGGACATTATCCGACAAGACTCCCAGGGACGTGAAATTTATTTCATTGTGCGAGGCGAAGTTGAAGTTCTCACGGAAAGAACGGACGCACAAGACCGCTACTCTCTACCAACTACTATCGAGAAACCACCATTCGAAGTCAAAGCAAGACTCAAACAAGGGCAATACTTTGGAGAGGTTGTGAGTCTGTCGCTGGCGCCCCGCAGGACAGCGACGGTACGCTCCGTTACTGCAGTCGAGTGCCTCATGCTTAGTGGCGATGTCCTCGCCGAATTCTGGGACAAGCTTCCCCAGAATGTCCGCCAGCAGGTCGAGAACACGGCCAAGGAGAGACTTCAGTCTGCGTCTGATGGTGACGTTGTAATGTCAGATGCAGGAAGCGCTGATCAGCCCACCGATGGGGAGTTTAAAATCAGAGCTGCTCGGCGACAATCAATGCCGCTTTTGACGCTCACAGAGACAGAGTTGGATAGCCCGCGAGCTCCCACGGCCATGGAGGATCAGACTGTGCTGAAACCCTCAGATCCTGACCCTTTTCTGAATGTTGGCTTGGACAAGGTTCGACTACGCAGCCGGCGCGGGTCCGTCGCTCCGTTGACACCAGACGAGGTGTCTGGGGAGCAGCAGCGACAATCACCCCCATCTGGGACTCGTTCGACTAGGTCGTCTCTCTACTCCCTTTCCGACACATCGACTTTGTCGACAACACAGAAGACACACCGCGAGTCACGCGGCGATAACGTCGGCATTCTACCGGACAATATACTCGTGAGGATTTTCCAACACCTGGAGCTTCACGAACTTCTGCGCCTTCGAGCTGTCTCTCTGCACTGGTCTGAGATTCTTACCCAATGCTCTGAACTCGTTCGTTATCTTGATCTAAGCATGTATAATCGCAAACTTAGCGATGATGTTTTGGTCAAAATAATCTGCCCTTTTGTGGGGGAACGACCTCGCCACGTCGATATCAGTAATTGCTTCCACATCACCGACGAAGGCTTCTCGAAATTGGCCGCTACATGCGGCGCTAACGTCGTCACTTGGAAGATGAAAAGTGTCTGGGATGTTACTGCATCTGCCATTCTTGAGATGACTGGCAAAGCGACTGGTCTACAGGAAGTTGATTTGAGTAATTGTAGAAAAGTCGGGGACACGCTGCTGGCTCGGATAATTGGCTGGGTTTCTCCTGGACAACATAAGCCCAACGGCGAGACTGGAAAGATGGGCAAAGCAGCTTTGAAGCCCACGATGCAGACTGAAGCGGGCACTGTATATGGTTGTCCGCAACTGAAGAAATTAACCTTGTCATACTGCAAACATGTCACGGATCGCTCGATGCACCATATTGCGTCGCACGCTGCCTCCAGAATCGAGCAGATGGATTTGACCCGATGTACGACGATCACTGACCAAGGCTTCCAATACTGGGGAAATGCCCAATTTATCAATTTGCGCAAACTCACCTTGGCGGACTGCACTTACCTCACCGACAATGCCATTGTGTACCTAACCAACGCAGCCAAACAGCTACAAGAACTGGATTTGGTAAGCTTATCACTGTTCAGGAGCTATCTTGCAGTACCGCTGACCGTGACCAGTCGTTTTGCTGCGCTTTGTCAGACACAGCGACAGAAGTTCTCGCACTCCAATGCTCGCAGTTGACCTATCTCAACATGTCGTTCTGCGGGTCCGCGATCTCGGACCCTTCCTTGCGCAGCATTGGACTCCACCTCCTAAATCTCAAACGGCTATCAGTCCGTGGCTGCGTCCGGGTCACGGGTGTGGGTGTTGAAGCGGTCGCAGAGGGCTGCAATCAGCTGGAGTCGTTTGATGTCAGTCAGTGCAAAAACCTCCTTCCGTGGCTCGAAGACGGCGGACCTCTCAGATACAAAGGCAAAATCGACTTCGAGACCGTTGCGCAGAATGGACGAGTGTTTCGATAACCGCCATCGCAATTGCGGCCCGTTTCTTGTATATCCCCTCATCTTTGCGACCTTATAATGCACGGCTCTACTCACTTTGACGATCTTTCCTAATCCTTGAATGGGCATATATTGCCCTCGAACTATCTATTATCTTATGCCTTTTTCCTCCTCGCATTCGTGGATCTAACCATCTTGCAACATTTCATCTACCAACTCATCTCATACGATTTCACTATCGGTTTGCAGGATTCCTCTCGTCTGGATGCTCGACCATTTTCTTGGATTCCCCTATGTGCCACAATCAGTAACCGTACTGGAATCGTTCTATCAAGTATATCCAGTTATCAGCATCGCCCAGTTTCTTTTGGGTCGTTTGCAATTCTCCATTTCATTGCCTTTACACTAGGACTCATTGTTTTAATTCTGTATGGGCTGCATAGGACTCCGGCGTGGGAGGAGTTTGACTGAGGGAAGAGCGTTTGGCAGCATTTTTCTTCAAGGGGTTGGATTGGTGACAAATTTCGTGTCATGTTTGATGATATTGTCACTTCAGGGCCTTCTTGTTGTAACTTAGAATGCTGGTCTTTGACTTCCATTTTTGGATCTACGAACGGATAAATAGACGAATCTCAAACATGCGTCTGCTTTCATGCTTCTTGAGGATCCCCTGGTTCTTGGTTCCAGCATATCCTTTGTACTTTAGATCACCAAAACTTCATTATGTTTTACCGACACGACATCGTCTTTCATAACCTCTTTGTGCCAATGAAAGCCAAGACAAAGGAAGGAAAATTGAATGAAGGGTAAGTCAGGGCCCATTCAATGCTATTCTTTCAACATCAACATTTACCTTTGTCACTGATGCAATTCAGGTTCAAAACAATGTAATCCTTCTGGACTGCCTCTGCTTGGAGAGAGCGATAGGTCTCACAATGCTTCTTGTGCTTCATCGCCTTTCAACAAATCTTTCAGTGTGACGACCAAAGGTCTTTGGCACTTTGTGAAGCTTGCAGGTCGAACCAGCAAAACCGAAGTCTATTTCCGGCTCTACCCTCTTCATGACGGATTCTGAATGACCCAACCCCGTTGTGCAGTTTGACATTGTATGCTTCAGAATCCTTTGTTGCTACTGTATCTGAAGAAGTGCCAAAAATGAAGCCAATGTTTGGATTGCATAGCAGAACCCGTCAAGATGAGGTATAAGTACAGCTTCCTCTTTCTACGTCCGGAAGTCTCCAACAGAAATCAGTCCTATATTGCAATCAGCTATCGTCTCACTCACTTCCTTTCCCTGCTTTATCCGCTCACGACCAATTCGAAGTACGGATCCTTCCACGACCTTTGCACCAAGCGACCTCCTAGCAGTAAGTACACCAAGACAAGATGTCCGGGAAAAAGCGGAGAATTGACGATGTCGACAACAGCGACAATGGCAACCGGAAAAAACAAGCACGAGATTCAAATATAGGCAGTGGAGCGAACAGCGGACAGTCCTCTTCAGCGTTGACCGCTGAAGCTGTTGCCAAAGCTCCGAACATGACAGCTGTCGTTCCTAGCCAGACCGTGAGTGGTGAAGCCCTTAGTACCAAAACCGCTCCCGCAGAAGCTGAGCAAAGCAGAGACAAAGGGAAACAGCGGCTAGAACAAGTGGAGGAAGCTAAAGAAGCCGCAAAAGAGGCAGCAGGGGGAATCTCGGTCAACAACAAAGAGTCCACTGCAGGACCTTCGACTGAACCAAGCAAACAGGCCCGGGTGAAAAAGCAGCGTCGCAAAAAGACCGACCCAGTGCCAGACCCCGTGGAGACGGCTCTTAGCAGGATTGAGAAGAATCCTCCCAAACGTACCGACAGAGCCTGTGACAATTGCAGAGTAAGTGATCAATAACCTCTTCCTCCTTCTGTCTTTTCTGTCTTTCGCTACAACGCATGGAATAGATGAGTACGCAAACGGATACCGTGAGTGGGCTCCTCTTTCAATTCTCCTCGTGCTATTCTTCTGAGCTGCATTCCTCCTATTGCCCAGATTTCTGCTACATAGAGACTAACGACCGTCTTCTGTTCCAGATTCAGAAGTTGAAGTGCGACAACCAGCCCAATGGCTGCGCACAATGTGTGAAAAAGGGTATGCCCTGCACATTGACTTTCGCAACCCAGAAGACCTATGTTCGGGGAGCTCCCCAGGAGACTGGACAGGCTAGAGATGGGTTGAACCTTGAGGTTGAAAGGCTCCGCGCAGATGTCGACTTTCTTCTGCAAGATGTCCACTTGCTCCGGCGAAATGTCCAGCAGCTACAACTGGAGAATATGCAATTACGTAATGTGCTGGCTGGCCTTCAGACATCCTTTCCTAACCGGAATGTGAGTAACAACTCTTCTAACATTTACCATTCTGTTATGCTGTCGAACAGTTAGTGAGACGCGCAGATGCTGACTCGAGACTAGCAATTTCCTCGGAATCCTCCACCGGCTGGGCAAGGGCCTCCCCAAGCCCCCTACGATGTGCATGCTCAAGCCCAAGCGGCAGGGCAAGGAGCTGGCCGCATGCCACTTCCTGCAAACCTTCCTCCGGCTGAACAGGGAACACTCTATCCCACAATTTCCCCAGACCCTTCTCTGGCAGGGCAAGGAGCTGGCCAAATGCCGCTTCCTGCAAACCTTCCTCCGGTAGGACAGGGAACACTTTATCCCACATTTCCCCCAGACCCTCCTCTGGCAGGGCAAGGAGCTGGCCAAATGCCGCTTCCTGCAAACCTTCCTCCGGCTGAACAGGGAACACTCTATCCCACATTTCCCCCAGACCCTTTTCCGGCAGGACAGGGAGGAGGCAATCCCGCACCTCCTCCAGACTTTCGCCTGGTGGGACCAGGCCCTCTCAACTTTCCACCTGGTCCGAACCTTCCTCCAGTAATACAAGAACCTGCCAATTTCCTACCTGCCCCAAGAACCCCTTCGCCGGAGCAAGGCTCTTCCTCCGATCAATCCAGCGGTAGTAGTCCTTACCGGACATCTTCTGAGGCGAGTGCAGACAATGATAACACCAACTACAGTGCTACTAACAATGATCCAGCTTTCGCTAACCCGGTTTTTCCCCCAATGACCGAGCAGGGTGGTGGCCAACCAGCACTGGAAGCACAGCAACCTGGTTACCAGGACACTATGGCCGATGACACTGCGATGGTTCTCGATGATAATGATCTTGAAGAGTTTGTAGCTCAACCAGCTAACCCGAACGACTTCTATGACTTCATCAACGCCATCGGTGGTGACGACGGTGACAACGGTGACAATGGTGACAATGGTAACAATGGTTGGGATCCCATAGACACGTTAATGCTACCTGCTGACAGAAATCGTCTCGCGGCCTTCACCAATCAGCCGTCCTATCCCAGTGCTGCCAATACTGCGGGCCCAGCGACAGACCCCTTTACAATTGACCCTGCACAACTTACCTCGCAACCAGGTGATTACCCGCAGGTTGGACGTCCAACTACAACACTGGCAATGGCAGATGTTCCATGGGATTCACAAAATGGGAGAGACAATGACGGTCCTCAGCAGAACTAACCAACTGCCCTTGAAAATACTGACAGCAAGACGAAGCAGCACAACTTATATGTGTTCCCGAATGCTGAGCAAGCCGGCGTTAGTGTTCGGCGACGACAACAATGTTCAACATGTCTTGGCCATTTGGAATGCTGTACTGCATGGTGATATTTCTTGCACTCGATCTTCTTATCCTTTTACTTGACTCTGAGTTTAGCTGCGTCGCATATCCTTTATCCTTTTGCTTAGACATGGTTGGCATTTGTTGATCGACATTGAGGGGGCTACCCCTGATTGTCTCTCACTTTTAGATATGCCACTCATTCATTGTTCAGGTCCCCAGAATCGTTAGATAATCCTAATGTGATTGACGATGCTATTTGCTCATAGTGTGGTGATAGTTACATGACACGTCTCATCTGCATCCTGTCCTTCCTATTCTGGAAATCTTCGGGAGGCCCCAAGTCCACATCTGGTCTCCCGTGACATCACCATCGTCGATATTGGCCTCCACTGTCTGCCAGGAGCGTACACAATACGCCCTTCAATCTTGACTGTAAACGCAGCTGAAGGAAGAACTTTTCCTGAGAAATAACCAGCCACAGCAACTTCTTTAAATATACAACAAATAAGGCCAGCTTTCAGGAGTCCATGATTTAAAGTGCTGTACAATGCTGACATATGTACATCACTCCTTACTTGCTGCTCTTGAGGAAGTGTACCCATCACTTAGTACGCGTATCTCAATCAAAAGCAAAAAGTACCATATCACAAAACGCTCCCGAAGACTGAATATCTACCACAAGCGAAGACGGTCGCTGTTCAACCATCCAATCTGTATCCGCCAGGAAATCCCCATCACAGACTGATCTACTACTAGGTACCACCCATCCACGTCATCTCCCCTGAGGAAGAGGACTGCTCCTGAGTCCTGAGGGCACACTCCAGTGATTTTATACTCGCATTATCTATATATAGAAACCAATGCATCACCCTGAAGATCAAAGCAGGCGGCACAGCTACATATAAACCCATTCCACTTGAGCGAACATTCATTCGAAGCACAAGTATCAAGCACACACTCCTTCCTGACACGCTTAAATACTATCTTGCGCTCATTTCAACCACCGAACTCAAGTCACTCATTCTTTTCCCTTGATCTCAAGCATCCAGACATCATGAGATTCACATTCTTTGCTGCTCTCGCCCTCCTCGGCACTGCTTTCGCGGCTCCTACTGCGCCTACTACCTCCACGGCTACTGTATGCAAGGCCGGAAGCCATGCTTGATTTATTGGAATGAGAAAGATTGCTAATTTCGCGGTATAGATCCCGGCTGGTCAAACCTGCAAGAAGGACGGAAGTATGGGCGTCTGCCAGAGCGGATACTGCTTGGTGAGTTCCTCTACGTTCTCAGCTCTCAGGGGGCCTGAAGATGAATACTAATACTTGCGGGATGGTGCAGCAAGATGAGAAGGCTTCTTCTGGAGTTTGCAAGTGAAGAAAACAAATCCCGCCGAAACCGGGCTGTCATTATAAGGAAGGCTTTATATGTACGTCTTCAGAAGGCCGAAGCCATGTACTTTTAAATCTATTCGTATTAATAAGAACTTAAATATTGCGTACTGTCCCCATGGATATAATATATCTTTTATCGTCACTGAGAGGATCTAGTATAATTGAATTATAAAAAATGACATGTCGCCCACTTATGCTCGAACCAATCCCAGGGGTATCTTCCCAATTGCTGTATAGAAGTATGAAGAGACCAAAACTCCAGACCGATATGCTCCTAACCAATAATGTGCAAACGAGGAAAATATCTTCCAATGCTCGTCTCATAGCACACGATGGCTACCGTTCAGACTGTCTGCTGTTCTTTCGGAAACCGCAGCAGATGCCGTTGCTCTCACACCACTGCCTCACAAACTCGGCGCTGACTTCTCTGTCTTCATGGACAAGTCCAAGTCCCTCGATGTTGAGCCAGGTGGCAAAGTCCTCTAGGATGATGGGATCGTACATCAGGATTTTCTCATGCCAGCTAGGGCGCTTGCAGTCAACGGAGAACGACCGTGGCTGCAATCGCACAGCCTTGGTTATCTGGCTGGCCAGATCTGGCAGACGAGACTCTGCTGCAAGACCAAAAGGAGACGGTTTGGTGCCGGAGTCAGCATTTGTCCGCGTCGGACTGGATGGCGTGGATGGCGTAGCTGAAACAGACAGAGGCTGACTGCTCCTACTTTCTGAGATATGGCGCTTGTAACGACTCTGCAGCCGACTGGGAGATGGTATGACCTCATCTTCCGAATCCTCAATTTCCTCCACATCCGCGAATGACGACTTCGTCAACACCTGACTCGATCCGTCAGCGGCATGACTCGGTTTATCCTCCAGAGCTGTGCTCGATTTCGCCTCTTCTTTGAGACATGCGCTCGCCTTCCTCGTCTTCTCAGCTGCATCCATTTTCGAGGCTTGCTTGTTGGTCTGAGATTTGATTGTGCCAGCCTTTCCCGCCGAACCGTCGTCTGGTTTTCCGGGAACATCTTGGACACCGGTCCGCGTGCTCACGTGTTGTGCTTTCCAGCATCTTTCAAGCACTTCAATCATCTTCCTGCGACTCTTCATTGGCTTGAAACCGTACAATCTGACTTGTTTTAACAAATCAGAGTCCTTCCAATCAGCGAATCGTGGCCTTGGACGAAGTTCTGACGCCCCGCAAGCAGTTTCTCCCGGGTTAGTTTCGCTTGTTGCCAAGTTTTCCGTGCGTACATCGACTTCAACCTCAACTTCATCAGTGATCTCTACAGGCCGGAAAGATTCTCCCTGAGACACTGTGTCCTTGTCATTCTTTTCACTTCTGTCCGGTAGCTCGCCATTGGGTTTTGGCGGAAGCTCGGAAATGTCGGTAATGTCTACCATATCCAGCACCTCAATTTCAGCTAGGGATCCATCCATATCTCTGGCTGCGACAGACCACAAATCTCTTGGAGTTTGGAAGCGCGATACTGCAGTATGAGAATATAACCCAGACCCTGCCCTTGTGGTCGAAGAAGGCTTGCGGTTTTCAATCATACTATTTTCCGATGCGCGTATTGCCTTTTGCATATCTCTGAGCATCGTTGGCGAGTCTTCCCGCTCCAACTGACTGCACGTTCCGAAGATCAAATCCTGATCCTTCAAGTAATCGACGGCATCCTCAGGAGGAAGAACACAAGAGTCGATATCCAAGGATTTAGAGAACAATTTGCTGCTGACATCGTCTGAGGGGCTAATCATGGTATTTGCTGCATCCAAGTGATCTGTACAATCATTGGTGTAAAGGGCTGTCACACGGCCAGTAAGAGTTGTAATCTTTCTGCTTCTTTTCTTCGGCTTCCCTTCGGCTGCTGGGGCTTTCGAGGATCGAGTGCTGCGGACATTTGAACGGTCGCTATCAGCGTCCGGCGATGTCCGCTTAGAAGTTGATGGGGTTCGAGTGTCTACAAGCTGCAGAAAGGTCAGAATGCGTTGCACGCTGATGACAACCATAGAACACATACCTCAAGTCGCCTGCGCTTCGTTGGAGCGCCATCAGAAAGTTTCGAGTCACCTTGAGAATCGGTGGCGGCTTTCAAAAAGCCATATTCGGATAAAAGCTCGCCGAAGCGAGTCTTATTGTCCCCAGTATCATCCAATGCGACGGCTTGCTTGCCGGTGTCCTTGGTAGGCGTCCAATCTAGCCTTCTCTTCATAGCTACTTCAAGCTGTAAGCCATCCTTCTCCAACTCCAATTTGTTCGCAGGACTTTTTCCCGTCGAAACGTCCGCTGTCACAAGTTCCTTGGTTTTATCTTCAGATTTTGTAGTCTCGGTAATGCCGGGTTTCGTCACTTTCCCTGTAATCGTTTTGTTTTCCGACTTAGTGCACTTATTCGCAGCGTCTGTGCGCTTTTTCTTTGATCCTGTGCCTTTCTTGGACGTGCATCCAACGTGTTTCGGAATGGGAGGTTCAGGATGGTCAAAGAGTGTCTGTGACTCGTTCGTAGGTTGTTCTTTCGTCCGTTTCTGTCTTCCTCCTCGAGCCGCCCTCTTTCTCCTCGATGCAGCCAAATCATTCTGTTTAGTCCCTGTTTCAGACTCTTCTCTCGCAGTCCTCGACGAGCCCTCGTTTCCATCTCCAGTTTTGAAAAACCGCGAGCGCGTGGGTGGTTGAAACAGCTCTGACGCAGACGGCAAAGCTGAAGGGGACGAAGAGACCGGTGATAAGACAAACGCCTTCTCCGCATCACATTTTGGCTTTGCTAGAGTGAGAGAGGGAATCTGATCTGGTGAAGAAGAGAGAACGACCACGTCTGTAGCTGTATACATGGTGGCAAATGGGATTTGCGGCGAAGGACCGTACCCTGTCGGCAGGTCATTTGGTCTGATACAGAATTAGAGTCCAGAATATAATGTATTGCGGTGCTGCAAAGAGCAGCTCAGAAAATCATAGGTTAGTCCATTATTGAACCCGATGTCGCGAGTCTCGGAATGAATGAGAAGTGATAAAGCTGCAGCTTTGTCAAATGTCTTGGCGGTGCTGTGAAATTGCCACTTTAGGTACTATTGATTGGTGGGCCGGGCAACCTGTCCCATTATGGAAGGAAATGACCCTCGCAGCTACGAAACTACAGGGGCAACATAAAACTTCACGGAAAACTTCCTTATAACAATATGAGTGAGATATAATAAGTAGTTTGTTTCAGTTTTCGAGAACAAGACATATTGTAGTCCATCGCAACATTAGTGAGCATTGACGGACTGCTCAGTTTCCCATATCAGTTGCGCGCAAATTGACTCCAGCACACTCTGTCTTGGGTAGTGTGCAATACGAATCCATCATAGGGTCATATTAGGTAACAGGTAACCATGGACGCCGCACTGAGATTGTCACTCCACTGCTTTAGGAGGGTAGTAAAAGGGGATTGATCCTGAAGAACTTCGGACATGGTCATAGAGCGTTCACGCAGGTCGATCGAAACGGCATTTAGTTTTGCTCTTGTAAGTTCGAGCATCGCACGAAGATCCCGAAAGGGAGGAGATCATAGTCGTTGAGACAGGGAAGGCTTTGGATCACGTTGCCCCACGCAGTGCAATTGCACCTATGAGCGAAAGTTCCAGTCGTCGCTTCTCATCGTCCTGAGCGCCTAAAGCGCCCAATTTGTAGGCTTTCTTAATCTTCGAAACATCGGAGATTTCAGACAATGTCTCATCAGCAAATGGTACAGGAGAACCCTCAATGGACTGCTGCAGATGCGCCGCTACCGAGTCATGAGTAACATCTGGCGTAACGGAAACTTTCACCACCAACAGGTCTGTCGTCGAGTCTGTAATGCCGAATTTGCGGAAAGAGTCTGCAATCTGGTGTATTGTCAGTGATGTTGGTGAAAAATATATCGCTCGTCCGTGCAATCTGGGAACGCACATTGTTGGCGGGGCTCAAGGAGAAGACGATCTCCGAATGGACATTGCGCGACTTGAGACGCCCATTCAGATGATCATTAACCGCTCTGAAGATGGCAGGAAGGATATGGGTCCTTGAAAAGACCTTATTTCATTTCAGTATGCTTGCTCAAGTGGGCTTTCCTTATGTGGTCCATACCATGCTTGCGTCAATAAATGCATATTCGAAATCAGCATTGCCTGACAACAGCTGCTGCCGGAGAAATGGCGAGTTTTTCACATCACGATATAGAGCTATATGAACGGGCAGAGCTGACGGTAGATGAGGAAGATGTATGGTCTCAAGGGACAAAGTCATGGCGCGCACTGCTGTCTGATAATCGCAGATACAAAAAATGTCGGTGCAACCAGCCCAAAAGTCTTTCTTTCCCTATTCTGCAGTTTCTCAGCTACGGCATCAGATTGCCCATTTAGAACAATCGCAGTTGATAACCAGTAACTCCGATTCCTCCGCGATACAATTTCTCCTGCTCTATGCCCCTCCCCCACTATGTGAGCGTTAGTAAGCTATTGTCACATGATTGCGCTTCTCGAACGTTCGGGTTCCCGTAGTGGATGCCGCCGGAGGTTGCTGATATCACCAGCGCTTTGCTTTAAAGACCATCGTCATCTCTCCTGCTTTGAGCCATCGCCGTCATTGTTCACCATTATATCTCACACCATCATAGATTTGGTACACACATTTCAGTCATGGCGTTCTTTCTAAGGCGTCCGTTCGCCGTTCCAACGGCTCTTCGTCAAGCCCCTAAGGCTGCGAACACCGCTCGCTTCATCCACAACTCACCCATCAAGCCCGTTCAGTCGAAGCCTCTAGATCCCTGCTCGTCCTCAATCTTCGCACAGTCCAGACAGACCTTCCAGAATGCCTTCCGGCGCACCTACATGCAGCCGTCTTACGGTACAGCTCAGCGTGGCGACCTCGCCCAGCGCCTGCTCTACGGTGCGGCCATTGTGGGTGGCACTATCATGGCTACGAACTTCATCTTCAACCGTGAAACAAGAGAGGATGGCGGAATGCCTCACTACGAGCGAAGTTATTTGAACGAAACTTTCATGCACACCGGACTTGGTATTGGTATTATTGGTATCGCCGCTAGAGCTTTGCACATGAATGGATGGTCTTATCGTTTGATGGCCACCAACCCTTGGCTGGTTGCTGGTGTTGGTCTGGTTGCCAGCATGGGCACTATGTTCGGTACCTACTACACTTCTCCTGATAAGTAAGTTTTTCGAATGTCTTTCCTTCTTTGTTGGGTGGTATGCTGACGGATACTTAGCTACGTAATGAAGTATGGTCTTTGGGCTGCCTTCAACGTCACTCAGGCTGCCCTCCTCTCCCCTCTGATGTTCATGCACCCTGCCCTGCTCGCTCGTGCCGGTCTTTACACTGTTGGCATGATGGGTTCGATTGCGTTCGTCGGTGCCACCGCGAAGCAGGAGAAGTACCTCTACCTAGGTGGTCCTCTCCTCGCTGGTGTGACCATCGTTGCCCTTTCCGGCTTGGCTCCCCTCGTTATTCCCGCCACTGCCGCACGTGCTCTGATGTGGTCCGAGAAGATCTGGTTGTACGGTGGTCTTGCTGTCTTCGGTGGCTTCACCCTTTATGACATCCAGAAGATCCTGCACCACGCTCGCATGGCCGAACGAGGACTTGTTCGCAGGGATGTCGTCAACGAGAGCATCAGCCTGGAGTTGGACTTCATCAACATCTTCGTCCGTATGGTGCAGATCTTGGCCATGCAGCGCAACAACCGGAAATAAGCGTGATCTTGCTTTGAAGTGAAGCACCACACCTAGCCCGCATGGATCTAGCCAAATAGTGCGAGGGAGTTTGGTGTCTTTTGACTGGGCATCTTCGAGAAATTTCGTTTGCTGATAATTGGGTTACTGTTGATTAAGAACTTGTTTTAAGGGTGTATGGTTTTCGGGGATTCTCGGCTTTTCGCACCGCTAACAGCCACGCATGGCATCTGGTCGGCATACTATACCCTTTCTCTAGATCGGGTGTAGAACGCTTTCGCCACCGAAGTTTACACATTCTGGTATAGCTAGAGATAGTGGAAAGACAATCTCCACTCATAGAAAATGACAGAAGAAAAAGAGGAAAGCAATTTGCGAGCTTCTCATTCTGTGCTAGATGAATTGTGGTATGCTTCCGATTAGGATTGGGCGTAAGATTGCCATGGGTACATCACACCTAGACTGATTCGAAAGCTCATATAACAAATGTCTTCAAAGTCACTTCGAAAGGATGTAATAGGACACAACACCATAACATCAAGTAAGTCAAACAACCGATTAACAGTAGGCTCAAGGTAGGCCGATTCGAGAGCCTGCCACCCGAGGACTGCATCGTATTCTTCTTCAGATTAAGATATGTCGTTCCATTCGACCTTCCAAATCCGCATAGACCACTTCCTTCCATCATGTCGGCGGGAAAAAGGACCCGAGGCTCGCCCTTATCCATACTGACCTTGAGAAGACCCATGTCGTTAACCGAGTAGTTGGCGCAATTGAGCACATCCATGACCACAAATCCAGGTTCGTAGCCTATTGGCATGTCCAGCTCATATTTGCCGCTGTCCGTACCTTGAGTTGACAAGACCATCACGAGTTGCCGGCCCTCGACGCCTTTGCGGAAGCCCATCTCGCTAGACCCTGTGTAGATGGGGAAGGTCTGTGAGTCTACATATGCTGGATCGATTTGGGCTGCATGCTTGCGGATCCTGTTCAGTTCCGTGGCTAGTTGGTAAAGCGGAGCCTTGGTGTCGTAGCCTGATAACCATAAGGCTTCGCGGTTCTCCGGGTCATTGGCACCTGAGAAATGTTGTTCTTGCCCTTGGTAAATCATCGGTATGCCGTCGAACAGCATCGTGAATGTTAGAACGTTCTTAGCGAGCTGCGCCAGTGTTAGCCTATCATCGGTTGATACTTGTCAGGGTAACTCGAGTTCGCTGCCTTACCGCGATGTCATCCTTGAAGCTTGCAAATCGGGCGACGTCGTGGTTTTCCGAGAACGAAGTAAGGGCAGTAACATCAGAACATGTCTGTTTCATGACCTCTACCTGATTCGTCAGAGAGCTTGTGTTGCCTTTTGTAAATGCCTCCAAGATGGAATAATAGATGGGATAATTGGGGACGCTGGGGAGGTCATTTTGATATCCGCAGATCGTCTTCACGGATGGCTCGAAAACTTCGCCAGTAATGAAAGCGCCAGAAGCGTTATCGAACAAGGGCAAGAAGCTTGGTGTAATATGCTTCGCTGCATCCAGACGTAGACCATCGATTGAATACGTAGTCATCATTTTTCTAATCCAGTCCATGAGCATGCTCTGAACTTGGCTATCTTCTGTCTTTAGATCTGGGAGGGGAACAACATCATCACCTGTCCAGCAAGTTTGCGCCAATGGATAGTTGTCATAGTCGGTGATCTTGCAATATGGATGGAAGAACACTGGGTCATTGAATGGGCTGAGCGTTGAATAGTCAATGCTCGTGGCCGGGTTTCGTCCGTTGGTGATGTACGCCAAGTTGTTGACGACAGTATCTACCATCAAATACATGCCCCGGTCATGAACAGCCTTGCTCAAGTCTAGCATGTCCTGGTGAGTGCCAAAGTGTGGGTTTAGCGCATACATATCCTGGACCCAGTAGCCATGATAGGCTTCTCCGTACTGCACGCGTCCCTCGACATTCTGGACGATTGGGGAGATCATGATAGCGTCGAATCCCATTCCTTGAATGTAATCGAGGTGTTGAATTGTACCTCTCCATGAACCACCACAGCGTAGCCCTTCTGTGGTGTTGCATGGATGAGTGGTGGACCCATCCGTACGTGCAAATCTGTCTGTCATGGTCTGATAGATAGACCTGGACTTCCATGCACTTGTATCTGCAGCTGAGGATGACACGAGCAGGTCAAGCCCTGCAGTGATGCAAAGCCACTGCAGGATTCGCAGCGAGTATAACATTGCAGTAGAGATTGCCGATGCAAGCAGGAGAGGGCTGGGATGAAATTACAATAGAATGAATGACAATGACAAAAATGAAAGAATGTAGTAAGCAGAATCGAGGCTACAGTGCCGAGTCACTCTTCATGTAGATGCTGAGGAGTTTTTCGTATGGTTCAGTAACCTGCTGAACCCATGAGATCGTAGGGCTGACTCAGTATCGGAACGATTGTAGCAGCCTCTTGTAGGAATCAATAACTCAAGATAAAAAGGAATGTATGGCCGAATCTTCTGTTGACCACGGCAGCAACCAGAGACAAGGATAAACGAAGACGGTCCTAAATCGATACCATGGGAATGAGACATCTACCAATGGCAGACGCAGTGCCAAAAGAGCGAATGCGTAATGTCCTCTGAACAAGTGAATGAGAAGCAACGAGTGGATAAAAGAGAGATGGGATCAGCCTCATATGAATCGTAAAGAGACTGACTGAGGTTGGAAGGGAAACATTGGACGGTCAGCTGAAGGTCATCTTGGGGAAGTAAAGAGTGGCAAGGCGAGGAGGAAGGAGGAAATGGATCAAGGCAGGATGAGACCTGTGCCTTATGTTTTCCTCTATAAAGAGTTAAATTAGATCGCTACCCGCTCTTGAGTCCCAAGGTATATGGAGACCTTCCATTCGCTGTTTAGCATCTGTCGTTTATTTGTACAGTCTCGAGTCAAATGATTCTTCCCCCTACATCCCTCGCTTTAGAGTCCCCTATGGCCCTATCAACTGCATAAACCAACACGCTCGAGGAGACAAGGGTTATTCAGCCGAAACAGCTCACGGACTTTATATCAGCCAACCACGCATAATCTCTATGTGTCAGCAAAGGTTAAATTGAAAGCGGACTGGCCCCAAACTGAAGATATGGGTGCTCTTTCAGGTTCCTTCGCAAGCAGACGTTGTCACCGAATGCTCAGCAGGAGAACATTTAGGCGTTTTGCATGAGGCTCATAACATAGCTTCGCAAGATGTAAGCCCTCTAGAAGGAAGAACAGTTTGCTTGAATTGGGGCTACAACAGGTATTTTGCAACTCTGTAGACCAAAGCTATCAAATAGACGACTACAAAAACATCAATCGTCAAGTCGTCATACTAATATTGCAGGTTGTCTTACAGTCAGTTCAAAGCATGCAAGGGCGGCATTAACAAAGGGATGAAAGGGAGAGACACCGGCTCTTTTAATCGTCTCCCATAAGGTATTCTACTACAGTGTCAGATAGTCTGATGAATAAATGCATTATGAGCGTACGGCTTAAGTAGCTGAACAGATCTAAGATACAAATGCGTGGAATCCTTGCGGTGGTTTGTCATGGGGAAGCGTGACCGTTGCGGATCATTACTACCTAAGTCATCTCCTGCCACACCACAACTTATCTGCAGTCTTATCCCACCATTCATCGATCAAAACCCTAAATCCAGGTTTGGACGTTTTCTCAAAATGCACATTGAAGATAGAATCCATGCTTCAGATTACTCTGATGAGGACGGGCAATTTTGCAAGGGAATGTTATTCAATTGCTCCAAATATAGATTTCCCTGACTAGGGTTATGGTAACATTATGCATTGTCATCCGGGGAGAGAGAACCATCGACATCGTTCATTTCAATTAACCACAGTAACATCCAAGATCGGGCTCGAGCTCATTCAAGACTCTTCTGTGTCGCAACCAATGCTCTAGAAGTTGAGCTCCTTCAAGGTCGCCAGATGACGTCTGCTCACTTTCCTCCTACGAGAATATTGATCGAAACGGCACTGATAGTCCAAACGCTCCCTTTATCGTCCAATATTGTCGAGGTACATGCCGATTGAGACATCCGCGCAGTATTTGTGCCGTCAGGCGCTTCTCTCAGGAGACGACCGTGTCCACCGGTTTTGCTTCAGCTGCCTCGATTTCGTTTAGTTCGGACTTCTCAGGCCACAATTCGCTTTCAATGACTTTCCAGTTCAAGCCTGCTATTCCTGGAGCGCCGGCCATGTTTACCAGGAGGCACCACTGCTCTTTCGAAATCCTGTGGAAGGTTGCGAGAATGAGGGCCACCGTTTTCCACTCATGAATCCGTTTACCTGGCAGGAGGATTTCGATATTCTGCTCAGACCAGTCGCAGCAGTACACGTCAGTGTACAGCTTGCTGTCTTCCATCGGCCTGAATCCGAAATGCTTCACCCTCATCTGCATCTTGTGTCCTTTGACGGCGCAGAGCGACTCTCTCACCCGTAGAGATAGCAAGAGCGAATTGTCGGCAAGGCCATGCATGTTGACGAAGTGGACGCTCTGCGCATCAATCTTCAGGTAAGTGACACGGAATGTTTTGCGAGTCTTAGGATCCTTAGTTATCTCTCTTATTATCATGGTGTGCAAGATCAGGTCGAAGAACACATCAAGCTCGGAATCCGGCTGATGTAGCTCGCGGGTTTGCTCGGATTCAGAGCCACGCAAGAACATTTTGATACTTGGTGGTTTTTCTGGAGGCTTCTTGGGCTTTGGCTGGCAAGCACAATTTGGATCGTCGCTAATGTCGAAAAGGATAATCTGTCAGCGTTTCCACTAGGGACTCTGGCTACTTTGGGTTTGTAACTTGCCATTGCATTTCGAATCAAGCTTTGATGAAATGATGAGAAGTATGGCTATTCCTCTTTCAAAAGAGATTCTGTGAGTCGAGGTGAACGCTGAAGAAAGGAAGAAACAGAGAGGTAGGAGGCAGTGACGCGCATCTGCTAAATAAACAGTGCCTGGCTTCATTCACTGTCCTCACACGTCAATAATTCAGTGAATTCACGCTCAGGAGCTTACGGAACATCCCGTTAATACTCACACCAGACATCCATTGCACCTGGTCATAGACTGCTGATAGTCATTGAAAGCTTAGCTATCGTCTAAATCTACATGAACTGTGAAAGAGTGATTACTTTGAAGAGGCTGAATCGATCATCACAGCTTCAGAGAGCCGATATAGACGCTAAAGGAAGTGCAAATGCGTAGGGGCCTTGATATTTATCATGGAAACTATTACCTATAGAAGCTCTCTATCTCGCGCAGCATTGGTCTTAAGAGGGCACACGTACCCATTGTGCGTGATGGTAGGTTAATACTCGAGACCAGACCTTTGACATACTCCAAATGAGTTATCAATTGACAAGATACTATGCTCATTGCCTTCAACTGCAGCCCATAGCTCAACTGGTGTCATGGTCATCGTCACTGAAACCACAACCAACTACTTCGGAGGATGTCTCTACCGTGCTTCGCTTGGAGATCAGAATCTTGTAGCTTCTAGTGCCATCTCGCAGCCTCGGATACTTCTATTCATCCTGTATCCTCAATATCCATGCTCCAATTTATACTAAAATTCGTTGACTTGAGAGTCAGAGCTTCATAGTATAGGCCTTCACAAAATGCTTCTCTGACAAGGCCCCAAAGATCATGCCATAGTTGTTCAAGATGGGTAAACAATGCTAAAGTAAACGAACCAAAGTCGACTACTGCGCACGTATCGACTCTCCCTAATTTTTCGACTGTGTCATTGTATGTTCTCTCAGGCTTGAACCGCTGAAGGATATTGCGCGATTACATAATCATATCACCATGGCGCCAAGCTTCCGCGTTGTCAATTATCATGGTTGTTGCATCGCTAGAAGCGTTCTCTTGTTCTCATCCACATTCCTCGCCTCTCGGTCTTCATTTACCATCTTAAGACAGCATTTCCTATATAAAATTACCATGTCAACAGAAATGGAAGTCGACGTCCCGCAAGAGGAGGTCCCTCAGGGACAATCTGGCGGCGGAGGTTCCGATCCTCGAACACAGGCGGGAGCCGTTGCAGTGCGCAGTATTGAAGGATGGATTATCATCGCAACCAATATTCACGAAGAGGCCTCCGAGGAAGATGTCACCGATCTTTTCGCTGAATATGGAGAAATCAAGAATTTCAGCCTGAATCTGGATCGCCGCACGGGTTATGTCAAGGTGAGCTGAGTCTTACCTGCTCTGCACTTGGACCTTGCCGTTTCCTACGTCGTTTGTTTCCGTCTCCATGGAAGGTGCTGACATTGCACTTTTTCTACTAGGGCTACGCATTGATTGAATATTCTACCCTCCCCGAGGCATCTGACGCCATCAAAGCCCTAAACGGAGCCAAACTGCTCGACCAGACAATCCACGTCGACTATGCGTTTGTACGGCCTCCTCCTTCCAACAAGGGCAAAGGCGGACCATCAAAAGGCGGCCGCGGTGGACGAGGTCGTAGCAGGAGCCGCGACAGAAGTCGCAGCCCGGAAACTGATAACGCAAGAGATTAAGCATGAACATTGCGATAAAAGAGCCTTCGGTCGAGGCGCATCTTTTCTTCTCTCACACCTCTGATTTATGATGGTCTGTGTTCTGATCAAACGGTTCGAGAATGACCAGACGATCTTGGACACAGCACGTGTAGCTGCTGGTTGGGTTTGTCCCTAATGAGTGCTGGGGGCACATGAAAGTTCATTGTGCTTATATCGCCGGCAGCATGTCTTCCGAGTCAACGCGCTATTTGGGACTGTGATCTGCCCTTAGCCCGGGGAGATAGTTGTCGGCACTGGGACTTGTTTGCAGAATGGTAAGTATTCGCTCCTCCGGATTATCTCCAGTGCTGCTTGCTAATGCTTAGACAAGAAGATGCGGCAGGAATGGCATTCAACCAACGAGATATCCCATACTCTTCTGCTAGGAATTTCCTCGAATTTTCCATATAATTGAGCGTCTCATGTAATGCGTATCTGATGAAAATTAATGGTATCAATACTCGCCTGGGTCATGGACTATCTAGTCTGTCACCTTCCACGCCAATTTCGTACTGGAGTAGAGGTCAGCCAGAATAAACAACGTAGCAAATATTAGGTATGAAGTTGCAGTCACTGTGCGCAAGTACTGTCACAAGACAAGCTGCCGTGCTGGGCCATAGCGATACCCTCCATGAGGCTGTCTATATATTGGCCGCGTGATTGTCTTTAGATGACAAGCCACCGAGTGGGGAAATCTCCAGTATTGCAGCCATGGCACAAGCAATCTGTACTGTTTGACGACTAGCAAGAGAGAGCTAACATGTCGTAGACTCAGTTTCGAGTCATCTTGGACCCTGAGATGCTAAATGTAGATACCAAGCGTGGGTCAGCTGGACCGGATTCGTCCTGCTGGAGGAATGAGGAGCCAAAACCTGCAAGCCGCACGACGGAGATTTCCCCGCAATCCAATCAATCATCTTATCGTCAAAAGAACCTCCCTCCCATGCTGCGAGTCCACAGCCATCGACATCTCGTTCCAGCGATACCACTGCACGGCATGGCATGACATATTTCTTATTGTCCTCGATTGGTCGCAGGTCGCCTTTTGTGGTCTCCATCGTCTCCTCTGTCTATAGACTCCGCATATACTGTCTTTGATTCAACTGAGTTCCCACCGCTGACTGCGAGACTGCTGCTTATCGATCCTTCAAGCATTCTGTCGATGACGGAGGTGCGACTCAGGCAATATGATATTACCTATATCATTATTCCTATATCTTTGCGTTCTATTTATACAATCTGGGGCCATTGCGCTGGCGCAAGTGCCTCAGGACGTCCTTTCCCCGCAGCGACCATTTTCGCAGGAGTCAACGGTGCCCGGGATATCATCTGAAGAATGGCCTTTGACGCCCCCAGGTGTGATTGGAGAGACAGAAGACTCCATTCGAAGCACGCTGAGGGACCTTGTGGATGCCTTGAAGGTAACGCAAGAAGAGTATTTTGAGTTGTGGCAAGGCAAATGGCCGACTGCGATTGACTGGACGGCTGCTGTCCTGGGGACTCATGTCTCCGCTACCCTCTCGTCGCTCACCTCCACCTTGGGCGATGTTCTGCTCTCAACTCTTTCCGCAGACACCGAAAACGCTGAGGGAGAATCTCAGTCCGCCATCCATCGCTCATTGGCGTTCGAGAACTTTATCAACCACTTCTTCGACCAATCCGCTGCATTCTACTACGGTGAAGATGCGATTTCTCTGAGAGGGCAAGCTTACGACGACATGCTTTGGGTTGTACTGGAATGGCTGGAGAACATCAAGTTTCAGGTTCTACATTCCGAGTTGCATTACGATCGGTCGAACGCAAGCACAAAGCATCGCTGGCATGGAGTTCAGTTTCAGATTCCAGCGGCTCATCGAGCGCGACTCTTCCACGAACTTGCGTCCAGTGGATGGGACCGTTCGCTTTGCGGGGGCGGGATGATCTGGAGTCCGTATCTCGGTCCTTACAAGAACGCGATCACAAACGAGCTCTACATATCCGCCAGCATTGGCATGTATCTTTATCATCCTGGAGATGTAATCAGTTCTCCCTTCGCTTCGGCGTCAACAACTAGCGAAGTTGCGTCAGATGGATATCCTCACAATCCTGCCCATTTGCAAGCTGCCATTGAGGGTTATGAATGGCTCAAGTCATCGAACATGATAGGCATCGGGGGCTTGTATGCTGACGGGTTTCACATTAGTGGCTGGCGGAGCGAAACACAACCTGGTACGCGCAGATGTGATGTTCTCAACCCCATGGTATACACGTACAACCAAGGAGTCATTCTGAGCGGACTCAGGGGCCTCTGGCTTGCAACCGCATCACAGGATTACCTGAAAGACGGGCACGATCTCGTTCGGAAGGTCATCCGTGCTACCGGGTGGCCCAACAAGGACGACAGGGAGTGGGCTGGCCTTGGTCGCGGTGGCGTGCTTGAAGACGCCTGCGACTCTTCTGGCAGCTGCTCACAGGACGGGCAAACTTTCAAGGGTATATTCTTCCATCATCTCACAGAATTCTGCAGGCCAATGTATCCGCAAGAGGAAAGATTCTTGGCCGCTGCGAATCGGACGTCGGAAGGAGAGGACGATGATTGGGAGCATGTTTATAAGTGGCATTCTGCCAGATGCCGGGACTATCGACCCTGGATCGAGCACAACGCAAATGCTGCCCTTCTTACGAGGAATGATGACGGCAAGTTTGGCACGTGGTGGGGCAGACGATATCGTGTCCTGGATGATGCTATTATCGATCAAAGTCCTTTGCCTCCTGGCGCGGTGGATTATAAGAATTACGGCATTAGAGGCGAAGGGTGGTCTAAGGAGCAAACTGGTGCGCTGCGTGACCGTCCGTCCTGGACCGCCAGCAGCGCAGAGAAGCCAGAGTCGTCGGATCAACGAACGGGATCGAGAGAGACATGGATTCGGACGAACAGGCCGACGTTGGCCGAGGTCAGGTCGATGGACTATAATGACCGAGGACGAGGACGTACTGTTGAAACACAGTCAGGCGGCATCGCTGTGTTGCGCGCTCTGTATCAGTGGAAAACGACTGCATCGTTGTCGTAGCCAGGAGTGCTAGTGTTAGCAATTTTTTTTTAGTGAATACGCCCATTTGAGACTCGTGATTGTTTCTCCAACATCCCTGTCCACTAGTTGTCCGACAGGGCTAGAAGTGATGTCTGCTACATGTAGTTGATCAGAAAGGACACACGGTTACATTAAGTGTTCAGGGACTTGATCGATTATCTGGTTGATCAATTGATTTAGGACGATGGCAAGCCAAGACGACGACATGCCAAAGCAGACGCGATAGGATCCCTGCGACCTCTCAAGATGTCCTGTCCCATAATCTGCACGGTAGACTGAACGCGTACCATTTGTATGCCAACCAGGCGTCGACCATGGAATAATATGGTTACACGAATGGTCATGATAGGCATGCGAAATCCCTGACATCTACAGCTAAAAGCAAACATGACGGGACCCTAGACACCCCTTCGTTACATCCTGGCGCTGTCCTGCATCAAGCAAACAGTGACGCTTCGTTAATGGACATGGATCTTATCCAACCCCCCCGTCCTCAGACCCACGACCTCACCCACCGCGCGCTCATACCACGGTAGTGACGTGCATCCTGTTAGTGAAGCCTGCGAATAGCAGCCGCAATATGGCCACTTGACAGACGATTGGATTTGGTTAGATGGTCTGTGGTTGGATCATGGTCTTCCGAGGAAGAGGTCAGTAGCCCAACAAACTACGTGCCTACCTAGTAACTAAGCTTGATCATGCATCGATAATACAGATTAGCGCTTACAGCTAGTTAGACTACTGATGGGGAGGGGTGGGGGACGTCCTTGAATGCTGGAGCTTCAGCCGTAGCGTTGACCTCGTGAAGAGGAACGAGGATTTCCCTTATCCACAGCATGATCGGGTTTGTTATTCCGCCAGACATGGGACGGGCTGGCTGGCTCAGACCCAGGTTACGGGTGTAATCATTGACCGCTGCTTTCTTTTCTGGCGCCATGACCATGATGAACAGTTTCTGGCAATGACCGGTTTTCCGTGTTGGTAGTTCTGATCTGCGGATGGAGAGATTCAGGGCGGAACGTCCAGTGTCCACATGAGGAGAGCCAAAGTTACGCAACTGAGGACTTAGATAACGCCAAGTCAGCGCCTAGGATACTTTTGTGGCTGTGAGGCTTGCAGCCGCATGGCACTAGAAATGTGGGCGGCGCAGGGTGGGAGGGGAAGCCGTTAAGCTGTCTCAGAGTCTCTATCTAGTAGCTATCTATCTACTCCGTATCTAGTAGATATCCAACAAGGCTTGTCGGTCTGAATGCTTATGCCAAGGGTGAAATCTAACCTTTAATGACGACAACGGAGACGATGATGACGGTGGTGAAGAGCAGTCTCGTATTCCTTCGGGCTTTTCGGCGTGGACTGTGATGCCTCGCGGTAGAAGCTTCAGGAAGGACCCGTGGACACTGGACAATTGCACAACAGACTGGTACGGAGCAGACTAGACACGGGAAAGAGTCGACTTCTCCAAAGAGATTCAAAATTGGAGAATCAGCGCTTTGAGACGAAGAACATACGGATGCCCACCTGGCGGGTGGAGGAACAAATCACCTGTAAGCGAGCAAGTGACGATCAGCAGTTCTTTATCATGATATTCAGGATCGGCTGCCAGAGTTCTACTTACAGACCCAACCCTTTTTGGACTTGATTTTCCGATGGCTTTCCGTGATTGAGATGATGGCCAACTCTGCAGAGGTAACCAAGAAACATGTAGCCTATGTATGTCTGCAAAATGTCTATATAGGTCTTTCTGGCAGGATGATGAGATTTTTATCTGGACAATAATAACCACCTCATGCTTGGCCTTGTACTAAGGCAGGTAAAGATACATTCGTCACAAATTATCGTAATTAAAGGAGGTCCTAACAAATACCTTAGCAAATGAGCAGCACAATGTTTGTTGTGGAGATGAATATT